AAAAATTTCCCAAGACTTGTATACAAACCAGTGGGTTCAACAAGCATTCCTTTTAGTTACACAAAACCACAGGTTTTCATTGTGCACCATTATGACCTTCTATCCTCCATATCAGCTGCCTGCACAGCATCCTAGTTTGACCCTCCCTTGCCCCTCTCCATCAGTGCTGGGGTCACATTAGCTCAGTGATTGAGAAAAACTGAGGGAGAAGAGAAACATTGGAATACTAGTCAGTACCAGTGTGCAAAAGTGTATTTGCTTTTGAAGAACAAATCACCTCTAATGTTGGGTGTCCTACATGTGTGGACGTTGCTGCGTTATATAAAATGATTAGAATAGTTTTTCACATTTTAGAATGGGGTGCCTCAAGACTGTCCATAATTTTAAAGGGTGCCTTGACTGAAGAAAGGTTAAGAAACACTGACTTAAAGTATATGAAAACCCTCATCTTATAACACAACACATTCAGTTTAAAATAAATGAAAGGCAAAACATTTGTGTATACATATACAAATGTTATAAATACCTTTTTCCCCTATTTATATAAGTGACCACATAGCCTCTGTTCTCAGCTGCCTAGAGAGTTTAGAAAGCTGGGAGAAAAGAAACAGCAGGAAACTGATCTTCCCAGTGAATGTCTGTGTGGGGGATACTAAAAGCCTGATCATTGGATTTGCTCCCAGCTCAACCATAAAACTGACCATGCTGTGCTCTCCTGTCTAGTGTGGTCGGTTTTGAATAGGAAAGCAGAGGAACTGTCAGGAACACCAGGGATTTCACACAAAGGAAGCAATACAAAGGGAACAGGATACTTTTTCATACAAGTACATGGTAAAGCAGGCATAGATCAGGAATACGAAATGTTGAGTTTACATTTTCTTTAACCTGGCTAGTGATCCCTCCAATGCTGCAATGTCAGGGCTCCTGTCGGTCACATGCTTTGCTATCTACTCCTGGTCCTCATTCCAACTCCTTGGCTGCTAGGTTCACCAGACTGTTATGATGCCACTCTCCAGCATGCACACTAGAGTCACAATATCAGAACAGTGCCATAAATATATGCAGAGTTGCGCATGAATGGCTCTGTGTACATAAATGATGATAGGAAGGGAGAAGGTTTTAAGACAAAGGAGGCCAATAGACCAATTATATGGGCATTTTATATATTTAAGGCATTTTATATGCCTGTAAAAGCCTCCCATGTGAAGACATCCAAAAGCTCAAAGACTGCTGCTGGGTGCCGCCATCTTGGATGTGATGTGAACAGCTCCAACAGACTCAGAGCTGTCACTCAAGTGACACTGTATAATATTTCCTTCAGTATTTCCCAGGCAACTACTGTGCATTAAATATTACATAGGGAGGGGAGGGCTGAGGAGCTAGATCAGCACAGGCAGTATTTAGACTCCACCCCCAGAAGCGGAGTGTGGTATGACATGCAAGGAGGGAGAGGGGCTGTGCTAGGGAGTTGACTCTTTCTAAAGTATCCATATATTCTAACCCATTCAAAGGTACATTGCAAATCAATAAAAATGTTTATGGAAAGGAACATTACATTACATTGGTTACCGATTCTCTTTAAAATTATTTGTACATGTCATTTGCATCAGGTGTACAGTGGGTGTAGTGAAACACAATGCGCCTATGCCCCAAGTCATTACTATTTTCATTTCCATGAGGTTTTTTCTTTCCCTTGAAAGAAAGATTTCCCACTTCCCACTCCAGATTATCTTCCTCCTGCAGTAGATTAGTCCTTTGATAACTTGTATAGATTTATCTATTGTATGCTACCACATTCTGACATCCTCACACAGAGCCACAGAATTTCATTATCTTGTATTTAAACACCAGCAGATCTGTTCTATAGTACATCACTAAAGAGAATATTCAAGATCCTTGTACATTCTTATAGACATGTGTGGCTATTACATACAGTACATATCTTTTGAACATGGTTACAAGTACAATATGGCATGAAATATGTAATGGAGGTGAAGGTTGTTTGTAGATACCCATCACAACAGCCCAAAGTCTCTGAGCTTTATACAATAGAAATACAAACACAGGGATTATACATCTCTAATTCAATTCAAAGGTTTTAATGGTGTAAACAATCCAAATTAAAAATAAATAATATTTAATGCATATAGGGAGAACAGCCTCCATATTCTGTTTTTTATCTTGGCATTACTTTTATTGCTGCAAAACCCACCACTCTAATAATCTAGTGATCCTGGAACTCACCTGTTGGTGATCCTGGAACACACCTGCTGTGATCCTGGAACACACCTGCCGGTGATTCTGGGACACATCTTCTATGAAGATAGAACACCCTTCTTCCTTGTGTACACACTAATAAAGTCAAAAGTGAAAACGAAAGATGTTTTAAGAAGTGTTCTACACCCTTCAGTCAGGTTAAAACGTGCCTTTGAAGTTTGAATCTGAATAGTGATGCAGAAAGTAGAGAGGACATTACAAAGCCCAGAATTCAGAAAGCACACTACTACGAAAGTAGTGTAGGGTTGTGTGCTGATCCTGCAGCAGATTGCACACAAGTCAGATTAATTAAAATAAATGAACATTCTGACTTTAATAAAATTGCAGTAATTAATAGTTAACTGAATGTTTTCTTGTAACCGCTCTTTAAATATTAATACATTTACAAAGCAGATGGTAAGCATTGGGATTTTAGCTACAGGATTTTTTAAGGCAACCACACAGTAGTAGGTAGGGCTTGCTGATAATTTTTCTTGCCACAAACTGTATATAATTTTACAATTTCTATTGATGGTCAGGTTACAGAGGGTGACCATAAAGTTAGAGCTAAACTCCAAACAAACAGAAAAATACAATTATAAAATAAATTTACTGTATAAATGGGAGCTATTTTACGTACCAAAGCATTTGTATTTCTGCCCATCTAGGTTTGAGATTTGCAAAGCACTTCCAGACAGCACAGCCATGTCATTTAAAGGTTTTCTCCCTCCCCCAGCCTGTGATTGGACAGTAAAAGGACAAACAACAGAATGATAAACCTATCTCTTCACCGCCCCGCTTTATCTTCCTATAGCCATGACTGGATTCTAGTGCTGCTTCTCTTTTTTGCAGCTTGAGCTTTTACATTATTTAAAGAGACAGCAAGAGGCTGCATATATTTGCATGTTATATTTGCCTGGCGTTCACCTTTGAGAATTTGATTGCAAATTGCATGCCACATATTTCAGGAAACAACAGGGTCTTGCAGTGTTGGTGCGTTTCTCTGGTCGGAAGGTCCCTATCAGCAGAGACATAGCCCCCTGATAGACTGATTATTAAGTACTGTGTATGGGTGCCATGACAAGTCATCCTCTGTTGATGGAGGTGACTATAAATTAATACTGATGGCTGATTTGGGAACATTTTTATGTCTGTAGACCCTTTACAATAAGCCTTGCTGAGTACTTTCAGGGGTAAATCAGTTGGCCAGAATGCATTTTTTTCAGCCACGCACAATTTAAACCAACCCCAACCTTCACTTGGGTAGTCCATTTTTCTTCCACTGATCAAAACAGTCATTCTGAACCTTTTCAACACAAACAAACCCTTGAAATAACTTTCCTATCTCAGAGAACCCCTGCTAAAAATTACTATATTTACAACGCGTGATACATTAGTGTGATGGTCAGTGGTCAGAGTGGTCCTTACACTTGTGGTCCTTGAAATAATTATCCCTTTACAGATGCTAAAAGATCAAAAGTTTCAGTGGGAACATATCTGAGAGGCAGAAATTGCTCAAGGATCCCCTAGCAACCTCTGCAGGAACCTTAGGGTTCCATGGAACCCTGGTGAGATGCCCTGGCTCAAAACATTCAAGTTTACCCAATATGAATGTGTAGTGAGGGTGCTTGGATTGTGCATATCTCGCCAGTCTCTACTAAAGGTCTCAAATATCGTAAAATTTTAATTGCATGAATTAAATCCAAATTAAACAAGTCTAAATGGATTTCTGCATATTCAACAAGAGATATAGCCTAGAGTGGCAAGGCAGCCATTCCAGGCCCTTAAACCTACAACAAATTGCTAGCACCATAGGAAAACAGAACTTCTAGCCATTGATTTTAGATGTACTGAGCAGACTGACCCTTTAGGCCACTCCATCCCCAACCCTGTATAATTATAATACCCTTCCTAGTGTACTGAGATGAGAAGGAAGGAAGTTATGTAGTCGAGCAGGGAAGCTAACAACACTTGTTGGATTTCAGTGCAGCAAAGTCACTGTGTTGTCTTGCAGATCAACACTTTGTTTTGTACAAAAATTTTGTTACAGGTATTTAGATAGTGCTTTATAAATATAAATACTGTACATTCACATCATTCCCTACCCCCAAGTAGCTTACAATCTAAGGTCCCTATCTCACATGCATATGTACACATATAAGGGCCAATTTAGACAGGAACCAATTAAACTCCCAGCATGTCTTTGAAGTGTTGGAAGACACCAGAGTAGCTGGAGTAAACACAAGGAGAACAAAAAAGCCCTAGGCAGTATAATTTTTGGAATTCTGACTGATGACCCCAGTGCTGCAAAGCAAAAAGCGATAACCACTAAGAAACTGCCATGATATACACTTTAGGTTATTCAAAGTTGGGCTGTCCAACTTCAGTACTCGAGGGCAGCATAACAGTCATGATGCAGTATATCTGCAAGTGAAATTTAGTGAATTAATTGTTTCAAGCAAATCCTGAAATAATCACAATGTCTCTGGAGAGCTTAGTTGGACAGCACAAGCTAAATATAATCACTTTATATTCAAAGTTTATTTTCACATTTCACAAAACTTTCAAAATAGTTTGTTTTACTTAAGAAAAAAGAAAGTAGTGAGAGTCAAGATCATCCTGAGTTTTTTGTTGAAATGTCTATGCTTTCAGGTTTTTAGTGTTTTTTTTGACATGCTGTTTAGCAGGTTAGCTTGCTAGCAGCTGGCGTCCATTAATTTTGCTGTTTAATTGGATCTTTGTAGATGTTCAGCCAACTGGTCAGGAAAGCAGTGTGAGAGGCCGGCTCCCAAGAGCAGCAAGTCTGACAATGCTGGTTCAAGTGAGTAACTCAAATTAGCATCCACAATTACTGGCACCTTATTTTGAAGTTTAAAACATAATCTGGACAAGTTTCTCACCCAGTAGTAATTATTACACAGGGCGGTGTAGGCAGAGTGTATATATCTGTTGTTGTTCACTTTTTGGCATGCATTATACACTGATGATGAAATATTTCTATTATGAAGGTAGAGGTGTTTTTCTTATTGTTTATTACAACAGATTCCATCATGTACCATTTTCAAATAATACCAAGATGCCAAAATTGTAATGCATAGTGGGATATATACAGGTGAAACTAAAACAATTAGAATATCGTGCAAAAGTTCATTTATTTCAGTAATGCAACCTAAAAGGTGAAACTAATATATGAGATAAACTTATTACATGCAAAGCAAGATAGTTCAAGCCGTGATTTGTCATTACTGTGATGATTATGGTTTACAGCTCATGAAAACCCCAAATCCACAATCTCAGAAAATTAGAATATTGCGAAAAGGTGCAATATTCTCGGCTCAAAGTGTCCCACTCTAATCAGCTAATTAAGCCATAACACCTGCAAAGGGTTCCTGAGCCTTTAAATGGTCTCTCAGTCTGGTTCAGTAGGAATCACAATCATGGGAAAGACTGCTGACCTGACAGTTGTGCAGAAAACCATCATTGACACCCTCCATAAGGAGGGGAAAGCCTCAAAAGGTAATTGCAAAAGAAGTTGGATGTTCCCAAAGTGCTGTATCAAAGCACATTAATAGAAAGCTATGTGGAAGGGAAAAGTGTAGCAGAAAAAGGTGCACAAGCAGCAGGGATGACAGCAGCCTGGAGAGGATTGTCAGGAAAAGGCCATTCAAAAGTGTTGGGGACTTTCACAAGGAGTGGACAGAGGCTGGAGTCAGTGAATCAAGAGCCACCACACACAGACAGATCCTGGACATGAGCTTCAATCGTCAAATTCTTCTTGTCAAGCTGCCCCTGAACAACAAACAACGTCAGAAGCTTCTTACATGGGCTAATGAAAAACAGACCTGGTCTATTGCTCAGTGGTCCAAAGTCCTCTTTTCTGATGAGAGAAACTTTTGCATCTCATTTGGAAACCAAGGACCCAGAGTATGGAGGAAGAATGGAGAGGCACACACTGCAAGATGCTTGAAGTCCCGTGTGAAGTTTCCACAGTCTGTGTTGATTTGGGGAGCCATGTCATCTGCTGGTGTTGGTCCACTGTGCTTCATTAAGTCCAGGGTCAACGCAGCCGTCTACCAGGAGATTTTGGAGCACTTCATGCTTCCTTCCGCAGACAAGCTTTATGGGGATGCTGACTTCATTTTCCAGCAGGACGTGGCACCTGCCCACACTGCCAAAAGCACCAAAACCTGGTTCAATGACCATGGGATTACTGTGCTTGATTGGCCAGCAAACTCGCCTGACCTGAACCCCATAGAGAATCTATGGGGCACTGCCAAGAGAAAGATGAGAGACATGAGACCGAACAATGCAGAAGAGCTGAAGGCCGCTATTGAAGCATCCTGGTCTTCCATAACACCTCAGCAGTGCCACAGGCTGATAGCTTCCATGCCAAGCCGCATTGAGGCAGTAATTGCTGCCAAAGGGGCCCAAACTAAGTACTGAGTACATATGCATGCTTATACTTTTCAGAGGTCCGATATTGTTCTATGTACAATCCTTGTTTTATTGATTGCATGTAATATTCTAATTTTCTGAGATTGTGGATTTGGGGTTTTCATGAGCTGTAAGCCATAATCATCACAATGATGACAAATCACGGCTTGAACTATCTTGCTTTGCATGTAATAAGTTTATCTCATATATTAGTTTCACCTTTTAAGTTACATTTCTGAAATAAATGAACTTTTGCACGATATTCTAATTTTTCGAGTTTCAACTGTAGGTTATATAGCCAAGGTTTGTGGATACCTGATCATCGCCTCTATATAAGTTTGTTGGACATCCTATTCCAAAACCATGACCATTCACATGAAGTTGCCTCTCCGTTTGTGAGCTTAACAACCTCCACTCTTCTGGGAAGACTTTCTTCAAGATTCAGTGGCATTCCAATTCATCCCAAAGGTGTTCATTGGTGTTGAGATTGAGGAGTCAAGACCACTTAACTTCCTTTACACCAAACCATGCCTTAATGAAGCTTTTCTTGGTGCATAGGTGCACTGTCATGCTGCAACCGACAAGAGCGAAGAGCCTTCCTAAATAATTTCTACAAGATTGGAATTGCACAATTCTTTAATATGTCTTATATGATGATTTTTTTTTTTTTCAAATATTGGACTGTATTTGTGATGGTCAGCTGTTCACAAATGTTTGGCCATATAATGTATCATGTGAAAATGAAGCTGTAAAGTAGAATAATATTAATAATACACCAGGAACACATTTGTTATTGCTCTCTGCAGGCTTTGGTTCCCACCAGCTCTTCCTCAGCTTAGCTCCCTCCGCTCCATGATAAATCTACATGTACTAAAACCAGTGAAGTTGGTTCTTGTTAATTTAATACAGATCTGTGAGTGTTCACAGATCAGTAATTGGTATAAGATATTAAAAGTGGAATTGCCATAAAGCAAAATACCTGTGGGACTGGACTGTCATGGAAGTAGATCTTCCTTGACTAGTTTTGTTGCAGTAACACTAATACTTTTACTGGTGTTGCAGTCTTAGGGCTATTACTCTACAGACTCATTAAGGAAGTGTTACTATCTATTCAAGCTCAAGCTACCTATAGGACCGCTTAGAGTTATTTATATACAGTTGCAAGAAAAAGTATGTGAACCCCTTGGGATTACGTGGAGTTTTGCATGAATTGGGCATAAAATGTGCTCTGAACGTCATCTAAGTCACAACAATAGAAGAACACTGTCTGCTGAACATAATACTACACAAACATTAGATGTTGCCATGGTTTAATTGCACATTACATGTAAACATTCACAGTGCAGGAAGGAAAAAGTATGTGAACCTTTGGACTTAATAACTGGTTGACCCTCCTTTGGCAGCAATAACCTCAACCAAACGTTTCCTGTAGTTGCAGATCAGACCTGCACAACGATCTGGAGTAATTTTGGACCACTCCTCTTCACAAAACTGTTTCAGTGTAGCAATATTCTTGGGATGTCTGGTGTGAATCGCTCTCTTAAGGTCATGCCACAGCATTTCAATGGGGTTGAGGTCAGGACTCTGACTGGGCCACTCCAGAAGGCGTATTCTGTGCTGTTGCAGCCATTGGTTTGTTGAATTACTTGTATGCTTTGGGTCATTGTCCTGTTGCCTCACCCATCCTCTGCAGAGCTTCAGTTGGCGGACAGATGGTCGTACGTTTTCCTGCAAAATGTCTTGATAAACTCTGGAATTCATTTTCCCATCAATGACAACAATCCATCCAGGCCCTGAGGCAGCAAAGCAGCCCCAAACCATGATGCTCCCTCCGCCATGTTTTACAGTGGGGATGAGGTTTTGATGTTGGTGTGCTGTGCCTTTTTTTCTCTACACATAGTGTTGTGTGTTCTTCCCAAACAACTCAATCTTGGTTTCATCTGTCCACAGTATATTTTGCCAGTAGTGCTGTGGAACATCCAGGTGCTCTTTTGCATACTTAAAACGTACTGCAATATTCTTTTTGGACAGCAATGGCTTCCTCCGTGGTGTCCTCCCATGTACTCCATTCTTGTTTAATGTTTTCCTTATTGTAGATGTGTCAACAAAAATGTTAGTATGTGCCAGAGATTTCTGTAGGTCTTTAGCCGACACTCTGGGATTCTTCTTTACCTCATGCAGCATTTTGCGCTGTGCTCTTGCAGTCATTTTTACAGGACGACCACGCCTAGGGAGAGTAGCAACAGTGCTAAACTTTCTCCATTTGTAGACAGTCTGTCTTACCGTGGACACATGAACATCAAGGCTTTTGGAGATACTTTTGTAACCCTTTCCAGCTTCATGCAAGTCAACAATTCTTGATCGTAGGTCTTCTGATAGCTCTTTTCTGCGAGGCATGGTTCACATCAGACAGTGCTTCTTGAAACCAGTAAACCCAAAACAGGTGTGTGTTTTTTAAGGGCAGGACAGCTGTCAGCAACACATCCAATATCATCACACTGATTGGAGTCAAAGTTGGCTCACTCCTGGCTCCAATTATCTCTGGGAGAAGTCATTAAGCTAGGGCTTCACATACTTTTTCCTCCCTGCACTGTGAATGTTTACATGTTATGTGCAATTAAACCATGGCAACATCTAATATTTGTGTAGTATTATGTTCAGCAGACTGTGTTCTTCTATTGTTGTGACTTAGATGCCGTTCAGAGCACATTTTATGCCCAATTCATGCAAAACTCCACGTAATCCCAAGGGGTTCACATACTTTTTCTTGCAACTGTATGTCATTTGTAGTATTTGTACCCAAATTTTTACAGTTGGGAACTATTTTATGAAACTGAAAATGTACACAAAATTATTATTGGCATACTCTGTCCCAGTGGCACAATTTACAGTCCTATCCACAGTCACTGTAAGGCACATTTTGGTAGATGCCAATTAGCTAACCAGTTTGTGAAATAAGAATGGAACACCAAGTAGGAGGCTCAAATTCCCAGAGAACAAGCAATTGTCCTGCAGAAGGGGTCCCTACTGGTAACTTAACTCAGAACCACAGTGCTACATGGAATCCTTGTTTACCCCTGTGCTACCATGGTGCAAAGATGTCATTTTCCCTTCTAGAAGAAACAATATACTAATATTAACACTTTTCCTTTTCTGTGACAGGCAGCATTGCAATAATCGTGCCCCTGGTTCTACTTGTGACCCTCATAACGACCTTGGTAATTGGTCTTCTGCTGTGCAAAAGACGTAGAAGGTAAATTGGATCTATTCCAGGTGTCAATGACATAGACATTACAAGTACAGCAATCCATTTACTAAGTGCCCACTTGTATATCTCCAAAACAAAACTTTTTTTGCTATGAGAAGAAGAGGGAAATGAGTTACAATGTATATTCCTATTAGGAAGATTCTTCTTTACTTCCTATTCTTTTGACAACATTTTTGTTTTCCAAGCCCTACTTCCCCCTTTACTCAAAACTAAAAAAAGGAGGCTATTCACTGAGTGCACAGTACAATACAAACTTCACCAGCAACACCACCATTAGCAAGTTAAAGAACTCTAAAGGCTTCTGTATGACAGTCTAAACAAGTATGGAAACCAGTTACTTTGTAAAGCAGAAAAAAAAACAGTTACTAAGAATGCACAAGCCTCATAAAGTAAACAAAAATGAAAAATGATACTAAAGTCTTGTTTTTCGTTTCCTAAAAATAATAAACACATCTATGCTTACCAGCTAATGGTTTTTCACAGAGCAGCCTGGATGCTCCACTTCTCAGGTCCCCTACTGGTGCTCCTGGCTCCTTTCTCCTGTCGGGTGCCCCCATAGCAACCAGCTCGCTATGGGGGCACCTGAGCAGGCGCATGTCCATTCACACACACAGCTGCAGCTTGGCCCCACCCCTCACTCTGTTGATTGGCTAACTGGCTGTGATTTACAGTGGCTCCCGCTGCTGCTTCAGCCAATCATAAGTGAAAGTCCCCAGAGAACCGAGGCTCTCTTTGACTTTGCTGGATCAAGAATGGGCTCAAGTAAGTGTTTGGGGGGGGGGGGGGGGGGGGCTGCTACACAGAGAAGTGTTTGTACCTTCATGGATAGAATGCAAGGTAACAACTTTGAGGCTTTAGAGCCACTTTAACTTCCCTGACTGAGTCAAATCATCCTTCATTTGTGTCTCATATGCTCCTTCTCCCAGACACTGCTGTTCAGAGTGGGAGGGTTTAGCTGCCAATCTAGAAAGGAGTAGGCAGAACTGGGTGTGGTCATGTGATGATTGGCAAGCTACAGTCCTATGAATCATCAATGACAATGCTGATAGCCACACCACCTGCAACATCTTCTCATCCCACTGTAATACAAGCAGGTACAGCCTACATGAGAGTGGCAACTCCTTTCTAAATTCAGGAGCAGTGAAGCATTGTTACCACCCTATCACTGGAAGCTGTATTAGTTGAACTTCACTGGCAGGACCAACAGGTATTTGTGGAAATTAACAAGGGAAAAGCTGGTCATACATGGTCATTTGTTTTTTCTATCAGTCGGTGGGCAGAACAATAAAAAAACTAAAGTATGCTTCTATGCACACATACAAGGTGGAAGGATCCCCCCACCGGGATATTATATTGTGACAGTATCACCCACCACTGTCAGAATACACTGATTAGTGATTGCAACTGACTGGCTGTAGCTCTGATCTAGGAAAAATGTTCAACATGTACCAACATGGCAGGCACAGCCACACACTGATCAAATTTTGGCTGGTTCCTGCTGAATCGGCCAAATTTCAATCAGTGTGCTCAGCTTAAGAGGAAATAGTGTAGATCTGACTATAATTAAGTACCACATCACATTTTTTTTAATAGGAGGCCATAGTTATGCTTTAAAATACATCAAATTATAGTGCCTCCCTTAATCTGCACTGTGACAACCCCTATGATAACCTTATATCAATTTGGTAGATTAGAAACCAACGTTAGGAGTACATTTTTTTGTAATCATCCTTGTTACTAACCTATGTTCTTCTGTAAACAGGGCAAAAACAATAAGAAGACAACCTATAATCAATGGCGGAATGAATGTAGAAATTGGAAATCCATCTTATAATATGTATGAGGTGGATCATAGTCACAATGATGGAACGCTATTAGACCCTAATTTCATCATAGAACTAGATAAGGTAATATACTGTTTTACAAATTTTTTTTAAGAGTAACAGATTACTTTACCACTGACTCTTCATGGTTTTTCTGTTTGTGGTTTGTAAGTTTGTGCAGTGTTGGCTAGGTATTGGAATACAGAAGATTAATTTTTGTCAAACTTAGTTTTTGATATACTGAATCTTTTAGGGAGGCACTTACAAGACCTGTTGTTAATATATAAAGTACAATACATTTTCCTCAAGTTCAGTTTTTAATAACATTTTTCAGTGTTCATTCAGTCGTGAGGAAGTTAAAACAAAACCCACTTGTAAGTGATACCGCTTTTATGTCTAAGAAGAGCTAAAAAATATTTCTTGATCCTGGAAATGATGGATTCATTCCCTGGGGAAAAATATTCCTATATTGTCCTTCAGTACATGTGATTGTAGAGAAAATATCAAATTTCATTTATATGGTATGTCTGAATGGAGGGGTTATGTAGATGAGGAGGTGGGCTTTGAAGGGATAATGGAGATGAAGAAGGCAGAGGAGATGTGGAGAAGTTAGAGATGAGGAGGGGGAGAAAATAAGGGGGTTATGGAGCTTCGGAGGATGTGGGAGATGAGGAAAAGATATAGAGAAGAGGAGGGGGAAGGTGATGAGAGGGTTATGGAGATAATGAAGGGGGAGATAAGGATACATTATGGTGATGAAGAGGGAAAGTGGAGAAAGTATGGAGATGAGGAGGGTGGGGGTGGGTTAGATGTGGAAGGGTTATAGAGATAGGAGAGGAGAAGAGTAGATGTGATTAAGAAAAAGGGATGAGGAGGGGAGAAGGTGGAGAGAGTTTATAGAAATTAGATGGTTGGGGTAAGATGAAGAGGGGTTATGGAGATGGGGAAGGGTTATGAAGATGAGGAGAGGAGGGATAATGAGGAGAGATTAAAGCGATGTGGATTTGGTTGTGAAGATAAGGAGGGGAGGAGATGAAGAGGGATTTAGGAGGTAAGGAGGGAGAGGAGATGAAGAGGGGTTTGGGAGATGAGGAGGGAGGGGAAAAAGGAGAGGTTGTGGAAATAAGGAGGAAAGAGGAGATGAAGAGGGGTTTGGGAGATGATTATGGGGAGGAGATGAGGAAAGATTGTGAAAATAAGGAGGGGGAGGAGATGAAGAGGGATTTGGGAGATGAGGAGGGAGAGGAGATGAGGAGAGGTTGTGTGAATAAGGAGGGGGAGGAGATGAATAGGGCTTGTGGAAATAAGAAGGGGAAGGAGATAAGGAAGGGTTTGGGAGATGAGAAGATGAAGAGAGGTTGTGGATATAAGGAGGGGGAGGAGATGAAATTGTGTTTTGGAGATGAGGAGGGGGACGATATATGAGGAAAGATTGTGGAAATAAGAAGGGGTAGGAGATGAAGAAGAGAGGTTTGGAAGATGAGAGGGGGAGGAGATGAGGAGAGGTTGTGGAAATAAGGAGGAGAAGGAGATAAAGAGGGGTTTCGGAGATGAGGAGGGGTGGAGATAAGGAGGGGGGAAAGATGAAGAGGGGTTTGGGAGAGGAGGAGATAAGGAAAGATTTTTGAAATAAGGAGGGGAGGGGGAATATGAAGAGGGGTTTTGGAGAGGAGGAGATGAGGAGAGGTTGTGGTAATAAAGTAGGGAAGGAGATTAAGAAAAGTCTGGGAGATGAGGAGGGGATGAGATGAAGAGAAGTTGCAGAAATAAGGAGGGGGAGCAGATGAAGAGGGGTTTGGGAGATGAGTAGGGGAGGAGATGAGGATAGATTATGAAAATAAGAAGGGGGAGGAGAAGAAAAGGGGTTTGGGAGATGAGGGAAGGGGGAGATGTGGAACTAGAGAGAGGGAGGAGATGAAGAGGGGTTTGGGAGATGAGGAGTGGAGGAGATGAAGAAAGGTTGTGTGAAATAAGGAGAGGGTTAAAGAGTGGTTTGGGAGATGAGGAGGGGTGGGAATGAGGAGGCTGTGGAAATAAGGAGGGGGAAAGATGAAGAGGGGTTTGGGAGAGGAGGAGATAAAAGAATTTTGAAATAAAGAGGGGGGGGGATTTGAACAGGGGTTTTGGAGATGAGGAGAGGTTGTGGTAATAAGACAGGGGAGGAGATTAAGAGAGGTCAGGGAGTTAGGAGGGGAGGAGATGAAGAGAAGTTGCAGAAATAGGAAGGGGAGGAGATAAATTGGGGTTTGGGAGATGAGTAGGGGGAGGAGATAAAGAGAGATTGTGAAAATAAGAAGGGGGAGAAGAAGAAAATGGATTTAGGAGATAAGGGAGGGGGGAGATGTGGAAATAAATAGGGGGAGGAGATGAAGAGGGGGTTGAGAGATGAGGAGGGGAGGAGATGAAGAAAGGTTGTGGACATAAGAAAGGGGGGAGATGAAGATGGAGTGTGGTGTAGAGGAGGGGATGAGAAGGGATGAGATGAGGAGCATCCTGTGTGTTGTGTAATGTTAAGAAATTAGCTGGCAGGGCTGACAACATGTACTTTGGAATTCAGAGCCAAAAAATATAATGTGCTGTCATGTCAAAAAGGCTCCATGGACAGTAGCAGGTGGGGAGTTTGACTGGGGCAGTACACTTGTCAAACAGTAAGGCAGGTGTCCAAAGGTGAGCTCAGGGAGGAAACCACCAGTAGAGCAGAAGGTAAAGTACACTATATTTCTTTTTAGATAAAATCATTTTTCTGTCTTGACATACGCTTTAATCATTCCCCATTCTATCCAAAATTAAACAAAACAGGTTTGGATTTGCATACACTTTAAAATACAATCTCATAATCTAATGCAAAAATTATGCACTAAAATACATACTGTATTTAATAAATTAATAATTTGGGTTTACAAAGATGCAGACCTCACACCTGGATGGATAAGATTTACTGGAGTGATAATTGGTCTGTTTTGTGTCACTAAGGTCATATCTTCAGGTTTTTGGTCTGTGGAACCTCTTTTGAGAAAACTAGGCTCACTTTGCATGGCAAGTAAAACTAATGTCTCTGTATGTCTTTACAACAAAACCAAAAGATGATAGTGACCTCTTCCCACCGGCCACATGCATATATATGGTCTCTCGGCAAGTGCGCTAAGCACATATGCCACTGTATGTAAACATTTTACTGCACTGAGAGCGTGCTCCCTGCGTGCTCCCAGCATAGTAATTAATGTGTCACAGAAAGCTCTTGATGCATACTTGCGATCAGGGGCTTTCAGATTACGTGACTGCTGTGATTAGCTGCCACAGAGGTTACATAACCAGAATGCCCACCTCCACCTTCTGGCATTTCAATCCACTTAAAGGGCCAGAAGGCAGTGGTGGGATGGGGTTAAAATGTAATCTGGCTAGTGACCAAAACAGGGGACCACAAGACAATTATCAAATTGCATGAGCAATTTGACTAAATTGAATAAAAGCAAATCACTATAATTTGTATTTAGAAATATCCTAATTTTACATAGTATATTGACTTCTTTATTGGTTTAGAGCTGAACTTTAATCATGAAAATGTAAATATAAATATATTCCTCAATAGCCAGAGGGGATATAAATCCACTTTGTGTGCACTATGTGCCTTTGCAAACCCAAATATTATCTTGTATAAGTAGCAGTGATATTATCATTATGCTATACAGCCTGTGTAGAGAGCAGAGCTGTGGGAAGGGCCAAACAGGCTCCACCCAATGCAGGCTGCCTGCAGAAAACTACAGGAGGGGGTGGAGACAAGACCAGTTACCCTGCACAAGGAGAAAAAGCAGCAGTGAGCAGTTTTTATTACAGGAAACTCTTGCACAGAGGTAAGGTTTCACACTGGGTTACTACACAGATCTCAAAGAAATACACAAAGAACAAGATTCCCTTAAGAACACCCAGGCCCCTTGTATTTTAAAACATTTTCCTATACCGTAGTTTAGCTTTAATTGTATGAGAAGCAAAAATGTGTAACATTTGGCTTTTTTTTAAGTAAATGCCAAGGCAAAATTCAATTTTTCTACAGAGTGCAAAACCTTTAATTCTCATTTGCTTCATTTTTAAACAGATGCTATTGAAACAAAATTCTCATTATGTTCAGGTATTTTTTTATGCCTTAGGAAGGTTAGGCAAGTGGAAATAAATTGTATATTTGGGCTAAGAGCAATGGAAATAACATGTTGTACTTTACAGCCATTTAACCATTTTACATTGGGTCTCAAAACATAAAAGCATTTGTCATCGCTATAGCTTACCGTTTCTGATAAATGAAGAATGAATCATGCACACTTAAAAGAATATATACCTTGGCCAAAATTTAAATATGTATTGAATTAGTAAACATAAACATTTATTCTGTAAATTGGTAGCTGTTTGCCTAACTTTGAAATGATCAAACAGAAGTTTTATAAGTTTTATACTGTTTGAGTTACTTATATATAGTGAAAAAGTATTTGCCCCCTTCCTGATTTTTTTTCTGCGTGTTTGTCACACTTAAATGATTCAGATCATCAAACAAATTTTAATATTACACAAACACAGCCCGAGTAAATACAAAATGCAGTTTTTAAATGATATTTAATTTATTAAGGGAAAAAGCTGTACAAACCTGCTTGGCCCTATGTAAAAACAGTAAGTGCCCCCCCCCCCCTCGCTAAATCATGCATGAACTTTGATTACCCACATTTTTTGGAAAGCTTAAATTTCATTTGCCACACCCACGCCTGATTACTGTTAAATCAAGAAATCACTTAATAGAGGCTGTCTGACAAAGTGAAGCACACTAAAAGATTTCAAAAAGCATCACATCATTCCACGATCTACAGAAATTCAACAACAGATGAGAAACAAAGTAATTGGCATGCATCAGTCTGGAAAGGGTTACAAAGCCATCTTTAAGGCTTTGGGACTCCAGTGAAACATGGTGAGAGCCATTATCCACAAATGGAGAAAACTTGAAACAGTCGTGAATTCCCAAGAGAAGCCGGCCTATCAAAATTAATCCAAGAACATAACAATGATTCATCCAGGAGGTCATAAAAGAATCCAGAGCAACATCT